GGGGTGCTGAGGACCCAGGGTGCTCCTGTCTCAGGGTGCTCCTGTCTCAGGGTGCTCCCGTCTCTCTCTGAGGGTGCTCCCATCTCTCTCAGGGTGTTTCCATCTCTCTCAGGGTACTCCCGTCTCTTTCTGAGGGTGCTCCCATCTCTCTCAGGGTGCTCCCGTCTCTCTCAGGGTGCTCCCATCTCTCTCAGGGTGCTCCCATCTCCCTCAGGGTGCTCCCGTCTCTCTCTGAGGGTGCTCCCGTCTCTCTCAGGGTGCTCCCGTCTCTCTCTCAGGGTGCTCCCGTCTCTCTCTCAGGGTGCTCCCGTCTCTCTCAGGGTGCTCCCGTCTCTCTCAGGGTGCTCCTGTCTCTCTCAGGGCGCTCCCGTCTCTCTCATGGCGCTCCCGTCTCTCTCAGGGCGCTCCCGTCTCTCTCATGGCGCTCCCGTCTCTCTCAGGGTGCTCCCGTCTCTCTCATGGTGCTCCCGTCTCTCTCAAGGTGCTCCTGTCTCTCTCAGGGTGCTCCCGTCTTTCTCTCAGGGTGTTCCCGTCTCTCTCAGGGTGCTCCTATCTCCGCATACTACCCCTTGGGTGTCACCTGAACCTTGGATGTCAGTCACCGCCGTGAGTTTCTAGGGTTAGTGTGAAGAAGGGCCACAAAGAGAGTGGCCGAAACAACAGGAATTAATTTTCTAAGAATTAGACACCTGAGACCACGGTCTTGGTCGAGTGGTTCTGATCAACCCTGGGAGAGGCCACTGCCCTGTCCCTCTGAGCTCTGTCCTGTTCCAGGCTAAAACAAGCCTCAGGGAAGGAACAGCTGGCAAGTGTCTTGGGCCTGGGGCACCATCCAGGTCAGGGAGGAAATGACAGAGGTGTGCGTAGATGAGGCTATTTTTACCAAGACCTGTGCAAACAGAGGTGCGGGCTGGTCCGGCTAGTTTCTCCCTCCCCTGGCATCTGGCCCACAGGGCCATTACCAGGTAGGCAGTGCCCGCTTGGTTGGAGCCACAGAGGCAGGACGGACAGCTAGAGAAAAGGCAGTAAGAATTGCCCCTAGGTGCCCTGGGGACTTTCTGTCTGGAGGCATTAGCTCCCTCTAGGCAAGGTGGGCTCAGACCCAGCCACTGCCTGCCAGGAACAAGCTGAACCTCTCAGATCCCATATCAGGCCTGTGGGCTGGGCTGCAGTCAGAGTATGGGAGTCAGAGGTCAGGGTGGGTAGAGGGATCATAGTCAGGTGTGGTTCTGGGATCATGGGTCGATGAGGACTGAAAGGATCACTGTCAGGATCAGGGGTCCATCTGAATTGGAGCCTGTAATCAGGTCAAGGGTCAGGCTGGGGTCAGAAGTGAACTCAGAGTCCTGGGTAGCTGGGTGGAGGCCTGGGATTGGACCTGGGGATTAGCCTACACTCATGAGAGAGGCTTGGTCACAGCCAGAGAGAGAAAAGCTGAGAAAAACTCCCAAGCCAAACTTTTCCATGCTTCTTCACCCTTACTGACAGCCACTCTGGGCCTGTCATCCCAGTGGAAGCCCCTCAGTCTTCCTAGAGGTGTGGCTGGCTGACAGGGTTCACTGCTCAGAACCTCAGGGCATTCTCCCCTGAAGCAGGAGGTATCCTCCCAGAAGGACCTGTGAGAGCTAAGTTAGGGTGAGAGTATGATCTCCCTCCCCATTCCCCGATCTCAGGACCCAGGAAAGAAAGAACACTGAGGGCCAGAAGGAAGGGCTGGGCAGGAGGGGTCCCCTAAACTGGGGCAACTTTAGAGACCTGCAGACAAAGGTTGCTACGAAGATTCAGTGTTTATTCCATAAACATGACTAGCCCAGGTTAATCCAGCAATCCAGGCACTCAGGTTATAGTCTTGAATTCCTGCCCTCTCGAAGCTTATGTTCTGGGATGGAGTGAATGACAGATGTTCTGGTTAGGGATCACAAATAATTAGATGGCATCTTTGAAGCTGGTAAGAGCAGGGGTGGGGTATCTGAATAGGAGGGGGCTTAGGAACTGGGGTGGGAGAAGGAGCAGTTTGTGGCTTCAAACATGAGAGAGGGGAACAGGGGAATCCCTGGGGCTTTCAAACTAGGGGAGATTCCAGGAAAAGGTTCTCAGAATAGCAGGAGGCCTGAGTGGCTGGAGGGACAGAAGATAGAGGAGAAAAGGAGAAGTGAGGACCCAAACACTCAGGGTCTGCAATCCTCTGAGAGTCAAGGCATCACTGGTGTTTTAAGAGGATTAGTCTGAAAGAAAGATGTTACAGCTGCACACCAAGGCAGAGGCAGGAGGATCTCTATGAGTTTGAGGCCAGCCTGGTCTACAGAGAGAGTTCCAGGACAGCCAGGGCTACACACAGAGAAACCTTGTCTTGAAAACTATAACAACAAAAAAGAACGATGTTAAATAACAGCAGAGAGAGGAAGTCAGCCAACTTCTGACCACCGGCGGCTGGTGCACAAGATGAAGAGAATTTGTAAGAGGCACCATCAGAAAAAGGTAGGGATCTGTCTAATGTGTGAGGCTTATTTAAACAAACAAGCCATCTTTTAAAAAGCATTATAAAGCAGGAAGGAGAATTAAAAATTAAATACTGACTATAGATCAAGAGTTATGAAGGAATCACAGCGTTTGGTGCGGCTTGGTGCCAACTGCTCACCAGCTCTCATTCTTCAGAGCAGAGCTCCTTAAATGGTGAGCCTCGGCCCAGCATAGGTCACAGAGTGGACCGCAGTGGATTGAAAGTTATGTGTCCAACATTACAGCGACCAAACATTACTTCAAAATCAAATGTGTCATGAATATGAGGTGTTTCTGGCTCACTCAAGTTGCTTGAAGTCTCATGTTGCATGAAGTGACTACTGCAGCCTTGGGTCTGAACACACACACACACACACACACACACACATACATACGCACACACATACACACACACACACACACATACACATACATGTGCATGCACTTTGCTCTGTGCATGCTGTCATGCCAGGCAGGGACAATGAATAATATGTATACACACACACACACACACACACACACACACACACACACACGAATACTCAACCCAGTATTTCGATTGCAAACTGTGGCACCAGGAGAAGCCAAAGGTTCATGGAAAGAAGAGGTGCATATAAGGGAGATAAAGGCAACCTGGGCAGGACAGAGTGGAAAGGAGGGACAGAGAAGTCATCCCCTTCTTCCTTGCCTCCACACCCAGCTTCCTCCTCCCTCCCTGATGCTGGTCCTTCTTTTCCCTCCCAAGTTTCCATCCTGTGTTCACCCTCTTCCTCCCGGTCACCACTTCCTCATCTCTCTTTCCCTGCCTCCCACCACCTCCTAGCCCTGGACAGGTAGCCCCATCCAACAGCCAGGTTGCCAGGAAGCTCCGGTGTGAGTCCTCTGGGCCCCACCACTCCAGACCCCCTGAATCTGCTCTCCCCTTGCTGGGGGTAGCAGCCCTTCAGAACAGCCTGGGGGAGTCGGGGATGGTGGCTCACAGGGCCCGGCTTGGCAACGGCCGGTGATGGTTTCTGTCTTGGATAGACAGTCTGCTGCCACAGCGGAAGACTGGCTGGAAAAAAGGCGGAAGTGGCTCAGGACATTTCCTGCCCAGGCATTTGTTTTGGAGTGCCAAGCCTAGGAACCCAAGAGTGGTGGGGGACTTCTCTGTGATCCCCAGAGTGCCTCCCTTGAGCAGGGCTGGACCTCAGGAAGTTAGCAGCAGGGTACACAGGACACTAGCTCTCACCTCCCTATGGTTCTCAGGCCGAGTGCCAGCCTCTGCTCCTGCTAGGACCTTGCTGCTGGGCTAACACAGGTCTTGGCACCAGCCATGGAAGGGTTTGCCTTCCCCAGTACAAACCACCCAAGGACCAAGAAGGCTGAAGTTGGGGTTTTTTGTAATGTAATGAGAAGATGAAGTCAAAATTAATTTGAACTCTAGAAAATGACGACAAGCCCTGTTCTCAGATTCAGTCTGTGGAGCAGCTCTCCCCTCACACGAGGGAAGACCGGAGGGAGACCGAGGGCTGTGGTACGCCAGGCCCAAGGTCCCACAGATGTAGACTGCAGACCATTGTCATCCTGAGGACTGAGCAGCCCACCCCTCGGATCCAGTAGCCTTGTCTCTAGGAGGGGTGGCCCCACGCCCCCAGGGATCAGAGGGAAGTCAGATCATGAGACAGGAAGACAGAAAAGTGCACTGTGGCCACAGTAGGGCCACAGGACCCTAGAGGCCATCAGGAAGCTCCCTTGGCGGGGGTTGAGGACAAAGGGACAGGAGATGGACTCTCCCATCATATCCAAGGGTTTGCTGTCTGCCAGTCTTCAAACCACAGGTCTGGCCCATCTCAGAGCCTACCTCAGTACTGGAGGCACACAAGTGGCCACTTACTTAGTCAGTATGAATCTGAAACTTTCTAGGGTTGGTTTTGTAAACCCTTGTTCCACAGCTGGTGATACAAATGTGTGTGTGTGTGTGTGTGTGTGTGTGTGTGTGTGTGTGTGTTGAGGGTGGGGCACAGGCCAGTGCATACCAAGGCACATAGAGGTCAGAAAACAGCTTTTGGGAGTCAGTTCTCTCCTCCACTGCAGGTTTTCCGGGATTAAACTCGGGCTGTAAGGCTTGTGTGGATGGGACTACACTTTCTCTTTCTGTCTGAGACAGTTCTGCTAGATAGCCTAGACTGGCTTTAAACTGGCCACCTTCCTGCCACAGCTTCCCAGGACTGGGACTGGAGGCCTGCTCCATCCCTGGCTTCCTGCTTTGATATAAACATTATAGCGCCTTGCAGAATATGTCAGGAAATGCTGCAGCTCTTTGCTGCTCTGGAATTTGGTTTGATAAGAATTATCTGTGCAGCCAGTGGTGGCGCACGCCTTTAATTCCAGTACTCGGGAAGCAGAGGCAGGTAGACCTTTGTGCGTTCTGGGACAGCCAGTGCTACACAGAGAAACCCTGTCTTTAAAAACCTGTCCATTTCTGGGCTGGAGAGATGGCTCAGCCGTTAGAGGCTAGGCTCACAACCAAACCTGTCCATTTGACTGACAGCAGCATTCTGTTAACACGCCCTCTCTTCTGGAACTGTGCCCTGTGCTCGTTGGCTTTGGCTCTCACTGTCGTCAGACTCAATACCCATCTCTGTTCAAGAGGAAAGTGCGTTCATTTGATATTTCCCCTGTTTTCCATCGCTTTCTGTTTGATCTTTACTAATTCCTTCCCTCTTTCTTTGTCTTTAATTTGTCTTTTCTTATCTGTTTCTAGTGTTTTTAGTTGTGAACTAAACTATTCTTGCTGCGGCTGGCAGAGTTCTCAGGTGACACCAAGATTCCTGCCCACCACACCCTGCCCTGTGTGATCTTCTCCCTTTGGGCATGGGTGTCCTGACCTCATCAGGTGAGATTTTCTTGGTTTTATTGATTTTGAGGGGAGGGAGGGCAGAAGTGGGGGTCTCATGAAACCCAGGCCGGCATGAATTCCCTATTTACCTTAAGTCCTTGATTCTCTTGCTTCCACCTGCCACGTGCGGGGATTGTAGGCCTGCCCTGCCACGCCAGGCTTACGTGGTGGGCATCAAAGCTAGGGCATCATGCATGCTAGTCGGGTACTTTCCCGATTAAGCTACATCTCCAGCCCCAGGTGAGCCTGTTTTACAGAGGTCCTAGGGTGAGAGGCAGAGAGGTTTAAAGCTGTAGTAGTTCTCTTGCTAGCCTGGTTTTAAAAAAAAGCAAACATTATGGACTACATCTGCAATCCAGCACAAGTTCAGACAGAATGATTAGGAGTTTAAGGCCAGCCTGAGCTATAGAGACCTTGACTCAAAGAGCAACCCAACAGTGAAGTAAACATCTATGGAGCGGGTCATGGGGCTGGGACCTGAGGTCAGTCCCTAGGACCTCATAATGAACCCAACCAGTGGCCATCAAATAAAGGGAGTCAAGGGCTGGAGAGATGGGTCAAGAGCACATACTGCTCCTATGAAAGATAGAGCCTAGTTCCCAGCACCCACCTCAGGCAACTTACAACTGCCTGTAACTCCAGATTCAGGGGAATCTGGCCCTTCTGACCTCCACGGGCACCTGTGCTCATGTGCACATACCCACACACACATACACAACTACACATAATTAATAATAAAATAGATCTTTTTAAAAGAGTCATATAGTAGCAGATAATGGAGTTCTGCCAGCAGCTTGGATGAACTTGGGAGAAGACCCCAGTTCTGCAGAACAACTCTGGCTGACACCTTGGCTGGTTTCAGCAGATGACCCAGCATGTGGACCCCTGACTACAGACAATTTAGGAGAATCAGTGGGTATCATTGCAAACTGCTGCAATCCTGTCATGTCTTAGTCAGCAATTGAAACCTAATGCATCCATTCTTCACATGACTTGGGTGTTTACTGTTCTGGGATGTAGTTGGACTTTTCTTTGGGCCACCAACCAGCTCCCAAATAAAGACATGGAGACTTATTATGAATGCTCGGCCTTAGCTTTGGCTTCTCCCACTAGCTCGTATAACTTAATTTAACCTGTTTCTCTTCATCTACATTTTACCTCAGGGCTTTTTACCTTTCTTTCATTCTGTATGTCCCACTTTCCTGCTGTCTCTGTGTCTGTCTGGCTGGCCCCTGGCTTCTCCTTGGTGTCTCTTTTTCTTTCTTCCTCCAAGTCTAAATTCTTTCTCCTACATATTCTCCCTGCCCAGAAGTCCCACCTACACCTCCTCCCTCACTATTGGTCATTCAGCTGTTTATTAGACCAATCAAGTGCTTTAGGCAGGCAAGTTAAACAGCAACACATCTTCACACACTTAAACAAATGCAACACATCTTTGCATAAACAAATATTCCACAACACCAGGACACTTTTTATACCTTGCTACATATTTATGTGTCTGTAAGAGTTAGTTAGTATTATGTTGAGGTTTAAATTCTTCTTTAGTGACTGATGCATATTACTTCTGCCTCCTGCCTTAGTTGCCCAACAATGTATTTTAGATAGATATAACTTGACCTATGGATGTGACTTTGGTTCACTTATTCTGGTTTGCTGAAGAGTCTGCTGAGTGAAGATTTCCTGGTCTTTTCACCACAATTATAGACTGACAGTTTGTACAGCCATTTTATATATTTTGATGCTATTTATTAGATGTTTGGGGTCAATATACCTACTTGATAGACTGAATGTTCTAACAATACAAATTTTTCTTATGATGGTTAATTTTGATTGTCAGTCACCCAGGAGACACACCTCTGAATATGTTTGTGAGGGCATTTCCAGGAAGGACTGACATCAGGAGAGAGGGAACCTATCTCAAAACAGGCATCTTGGAACAGGCAGCTCAGAGTTCTGGGGAGCAGGCAGTGTCCCTGAGGAAGCGCGTCTGCGGTGGCTGTCTCCCTCCTCCACTGACATCAGATTCCAGCTTCTTTGGCCTTCCAACCTGTTCTCAACAGTAGTGACTCTCCAGGGAGCTTCTGGACTTTCAACACTGGCCTGGGACTGCTGAGACATTCAGGCTCTGGAATGGGAAGCTACAGTTCTTAACCTCTGAAACTTGCAGACGGCCATTGTTAGGTTGCCCAGCCCCTACAGTGTAAGCCATTCTAATAAATCACCTCTTATAAAATATATTCACATTTTATTGGTTGTGTTCCCTCAGCGCCCCATCTAATAGAGTCTTCTTTGTGCTTTTTAAAATTGCTTTCCATCTTAAATTCTCATTCATTCACATTGTTTATGCTGATTAAAACTCAAAACTATCCCTAATCTCTGATATGATGCTTCTACGGTGACGTAGTCTTGGTTTAACCCTCCAATAACCGTCTTCCATTGGACTGTTGGGTCACTCCGCTTCTTTTTCTCCTCACCTTCTCTGTTCTTCCTCCTTTCCCTCCTCTTCTCCCCCTTCCTCCTCCCCTCCCATCCTCTTCTTCCTCCTCATCCTCTCTCTCCTCTTCCCCCTCCTCCTGATTGTTTAGGAATTACATGGGAGTTTTCATTTCCCCAGTGGACAGCTCCATGTTTAACACTCAGTAATCTCTGGCAACATTAATTATGTTGCTGAAACTCCATGTGTGTTTTGTCCCACCCCCTTCCAGAATCTCTGCCCAAGGTCACCTGTACAACAGTTCCCAGGAACACAGGGCTGGGAAAGGGTGTGTGTGTGTGTGTGTGTGTGTGACTCTGAGCTCTCCTGGAGTGGGAAATGAGCTGAGAGACAACCTGGTACTTCCTGTTGTCCTGTGCACCTGGCCCAACCCCAGATCATGGTGTTTCCTCACAGTGATAGTCACCCTAATGGACACTGCAGGTCAACACATATGTCTGGGTGTGCACATTCAAGGCTCGGGAGTCAACAGTCCCTCCGCAGACCCTGCTGAGGTTCATGGTGAAGGGGTCTGGAGAGTCTAGAAGAGGAACTGCTAACTCCCGAGTTTGTAGAAAGGAGTCCTCAAGTCATCCTCTGTTCACACAGGGCCAGGGCCTCTTCCTCAGTCCTCTGGGGCAGAACTGAAGCTCTCCTACTTCCTGCCTCCACCTTCCATGGCTCAGTTTTCTCTCTGTGGACACACAGGCACATCACTTGGACCTTCCTCAAGGAAGAACCTGTAGGGCTTAGTGAGTAGTGTGCTTACCCAGCATGCTCAATGCTCTGGGTTCACTTCCCACCACTCATAATCCCACCATCCCATAACAACAGCACTCCTAAACCAGGCCTGCCCATAAGACCAGCACTCAGGACATGGATGAAAAGGATCAGAAGTCCAAAAGGCATCCTCAGCTACATAGCAAGTTCAAGGCCAGCCTGGGCTACATGAGACCCTGCGGGGGCGAGGGGAATGGAGAGGAAGTCTTCAAGTTTCATCTCCGTAGCACAGCCTGAAGATCTCACCCTGCTTCTCTCCCCTTTACCATTCACAAGGAACCCTGTATTCAATAAACTTCTCCAACATCCATCTCAGTATTGCTCCCTGGACCACCTGAGGTGATACACTTGATGGCGCCAGCCCTCCCCAGGGCCCAGCCTTCAGGGTCAAGGGTGACTCTCTCAGAACTGGGCCCCGGGCTTCACTGCCGCACCCACCAGTCATTACAAGGCTTCCCCCACCCCAAGTTCCATGAGCTTTGCTCCCGGGTGGGGTTGCAGGGCCTCTTCAAGACCCCCTATCCTCTGCTCAAGCAATGCTAGGGTCCTCAGAAGGCACAATCCATGTGTCCATCAGTGACAAGCCTTGCCTCATCACAGAGCCAGACATGATACATGAGAGAGAGATGAGTGAACGAACGAATGAATGAATGAATGAATGGATGGATGGATATCCATGCTGTTACAGAAGACACACAGGAATAGCCTTCAAACATCTGCTCAGCCCTCCCTGCCCTCCTCCAAGACACACATGGAGCTGAAATGCTCTGACACTCAGAAAGGCCCAGCCCCCAAAGAAGGGGTGCACTGAAGAGGGGACAGCTGCCCCGGAGCTCGGGGAAGGGAAGGTTGTCCTCATCCAGATGGCAATGTGGGCGGATCTGCTGGTGAGCCCCGGCGCATGGCTGCCCAGGACTTGACTTAGCTCCCACCATGCCGGTCAGGGACACTCCATGTTTCACCGCTGCCTTACCATTGATTCATCAGCCACAAGCACAAGGCACGGAGACTAAAGCATCCTGGGAGGCGGCTGCAGGCCCGGAGGAGGCGAGGGTGGCACACGCCACAGGGATGCATCGGGCTGGAAGCCAGACAGGCTCAGATGAGTAACTGTAGATTCTCTCTGCCGAGCTTGTTGTCACGGGGAATGGCAAGTGACTGTCTCCCTTCTCCCCCGCCCCTGAATCTGCTGCACCCCTGTGATTCTGACAACTAGAAGGGAGGTGAGGGGCTGAGCCGAAATCTGGGAACAGGTTGCAGGGATCCAGAACAGATCCGCCTAGCAAGAAGAGCTTCAGGAGCGGGAACTGTTCCGATGTGGATTACTGAAGCAAAGGCATCCATGCAGGCTCCTTCTCAGGGCATGTGGGGAAGGGAGGTAGCTACACCCACCACCACAAGTGCCTGCTCCCTCAGCCTCAGGAAGCCCATCTGCCTCCACCTCTGCCTTTGCCTTCCCTTTCCCTGTGAAGCTTCTCCTATGGCCTAGGTAAACAGCAGGTGCCCTCCTCAGGGTAAGCACATGGTTGATTTCCCAGTGTGTCAGGACACAGGGTTTGAGAGCCAAGGGTCGGCGCGTGGTGGGTGTAGCCTAAGTAGAGTGTTAAAGGCCTGTTTGCTGTGTCCTGCTCCGTTTATTTCTGAACGTGCCTGTGTCCTTCAATGGCAATGAAGGATGGATCCCCCAGGGAACAATCCAGAAAGAACCAGGAGTGGCTTTCACGGCAGAGAACTGGAAGGAAAACTATTCCCCCTGAGGCACTTTCCTCTTCCAGGGGTGGGCTGGGAAGACACCAGGCAGGAGACCCCGCCTGCCCTCTCAGCCTAAGAGGAGTCAGTGTGGGCAGGGCAGCCATCACCACTGCTGCCCCCCTTCCATCCACTTCCCTCAACTACCTGGTGAGGGTCCCAGGGCAAAATGGGGTCTGGCTCCCTCCCACCCTCCAGTCCCCACTCCCCTCCACACACCCTAAAGCCCCCTCAAGATCCTGTCCACAGAGAGCAAGGAAATGCTAACAGGCCCATAATGTGAAGTATTGCAACATTTTGCCAGACTGGCCTGAAATCCACTGCAATCCTCCAGAGAGCCGGGATCAAGGCATGTGCCACCATGCCCCATTTGCTGATGGGAAATCAGCATTCTGCAACTGCCTTGGTGACATGTGGTGCGAGCCAAAGCCCACAAGTTTAACATTCACATCTAGGACTTGAGGACACCACTTCAAGTGCTGCTGAGACCCCACTGCCCCATGAGGGGCCTAAGGCCTGAGAGGAGGGTCCCGAGGGTCACAGAGAGAGGTAAACCCCTGATTCCTGAGCTCACAGTGCCCATGCTGAAGCGTTGGAAGGCAACTACTGAACAACTCGCTCCTTCGACATCCCGGCATCTGGAGGAAGGCCTGTGTCCAGCTAGCCCGTTCTCCGTAAGGAAGCAGAAACCGCAGGGAGCGCCTCCTGTATCCTCTTACCTCTATGCCCCGTGTGTAAAAGGCCTGGCTCGGATTCACAGACTAATAAAGTAGGGGGAGAGAGCAAGGGAGGTGCGGTGGACTGATGCAGAGGAGGAGGGGAAGGAGGGAGGGTAGAAAGCTCCACCCAGCCTGAAGAAATGGAGGAAGGCCAGGGGTCGCTTCCAGACTTTTCTGTAACCGACCTCAAGGCCACGCCCACAGCCCTAGTTTCCCACGTTGCAGGTTGGGAAGGCCAGAGCGTCCTCGGGAAATTCCCGCGCCCCTGCTGGCCAGAAAGCGCCTGGAGACAGACCTCCTTCGAGCGGATTGCACACCCCACTTCGCGCGCAGGGACACGCGGCTCTCCCCATCTCTGCACCCAACTCCGCCACTCCTCCCCACTCCTATCCCCTCGCGCCATCAGCCCCCCACAACACCTTCTCACTGTGACCGCCCGAGCTCTCGGCAAGGAGACCAGGCAGCCATCCGCACTGGTTCCCTCACAAGTTGCGCGCAGGGAGCTCAGAGACGGCGACCCTGCGCTCCACGCTAGCACCGAATAACCGAGTCCTAAAGACAAGCGTAGGAGGGAGCGCAGCCTCCCATCACCCGCTGCTGGCCTGCGCGATCTTGGAGATTCAGCGCGGGACATTGACACCCCGGTCCTAGTTCCTGAGGACCTCAGACTCCGGGAGGAAGGGTCTGTGGGCAGTCTGGGCCCGCGAACAGGTACAAGCTTCTGTCCCCCACGCCCGGGCGCTGGAACGTCGACTTCGCGTCCCTCGCGATCTGCGCGGGCCGAGACGAGTCCACCGTCTGAGTGCGCCCTGTGAAGGGCCAGGCAGGAGGAACCCCGAGTCAGGGCTCCCCGACTCCGGCTGAGCTCCCCTCGGCTTGTCCCTCGTCACAGACCGCTGCAGCAGCGTGATCCACCGGACCTCGTTGGGACCCAGCCTGAAGCCCCGGAAAGCTGCGGTCCTTCTCGTCCAGGAATCTGGGCCGCGCGCCGGCGTGGGAACCAGGGAGGCGGCCGCTCCCCTCCACCCCCACCCCCTGGAGCAGACGACCGTAGGAGCACGCTGCCGGGGACCGAGGGCGCGGCCTGGGTTGGGAGAGAAGGTGCGGGCGCGGGAAACGCTGGGCGGAGTCCCGCAACGGAGCCGCTAGGACGAGGCTCGCTAGCTGCAGCTCCCGACGACCCACACCACTAGCGGGACTCCGCGCTCACGCCCCGGGGCGCCCAGGCTCCGCCCCCTACCTGCGCCGAGGCCCCGCCTCCGCCGCTCCATTGGGTAACCCCGCCGCCCGTCAGACGAGCCCCCGCCGCCCTTCCCGGGCCCCGAGCTGCTCCTCTTAGCGCCGGGGCCGCCGGCCCGCGCCACTCTGCCGCGCTGCACCCGCCCCGGACCCCGCAGCTGCCCCGGCCGCCTGCGGCGGGCTCAGGGCGGACCATGCGCCCTTCGAGCGCACCGCCTGCCCGCTGGCTCTGCGTGCTGGCAGGAGCCTTCGCCT